CCCCCCCTTGAGGCATCCTCCAGACCACTAACGACAGGAGATGGTATGGCTACTGGCATGCCTAAGTCTGCAGAGAGGAAGGTCTACCAAACCAAAAATATAAACCGCGGCAAGGAAATCAGAACTCGGACAAAATGATAACAAGTTAAATAAAGCAAACAGACGGGAAGTTGATACCGGTCACATCCTTGACGACGGATAGTTCCTCGCCTTGCGCTTGCATGATCAGGGACAAGGCCGTGAGGACTTCCACGCTGAGGTCTGTCGCGCCCTGCAGACGGTAGACAGGCGGGAGATTGTCCCGCACATACAGGAAATGGTCGGCTGCATCCTGCAATTTTTAAACAATGCGCGAAGTTAAATAGGATTATCTTTATGTTGAATGAGGTTTGCAGGCGAACCTGTACTCAGAGCTAATGTGTAAAACGGAGCACAAAAGGATGCCGAGCGCTTTGAACAATAAGGACAAAGAGTGTACACTCAATATACACTATTAAAAAGAAGAAGAAGATGCGATCACCGTAACAAGAATTTTCTTTTCCTGACGTTTCGGATTCCGTCGAGAATCCTTAATCATAGATTAACGTAGATCGGGATGATTCATGCACAGATTGTGCGGTATTCGTAGCGGCCATCCGCATGCGTACAACAGTTATTCGCTCCTGTAATCCCCGCTTTGGGTCGTAATTGGTGGGGTAATGGCTTGGCAGTTCGCTCTCCAGTCATTAATTGCCGCGGTTTTGTTGTCTGTGTCGGATGCGCGCTTGATAATTGCGCGAAAATTACGCTCACTGTCGTCGGAGTTGTTGTTGGCCCGTACCTTCCCACAAGACTAATTCTCCTACTCAGAAGGAAACCAGCTGACGCATTTACCAGACACACTATCAGCCCAGTGTGCGCTGTGCGTTAAGTGGCTGATGAGTGCACTGGGAGTCAGGCGGCGACAGCGCCCTCTAATCCCTATGTTATGCAAATTCTGGTGTGTGTTTCAAGCGGACCAGGTTGTGCTGTGGCGCGCACAGACGGTATCTCCAGCCCTGTCAGACACTGCGTCATCCTATATCAGACGATCGACCGGTTGGGACGGTAGTTTGATGCTGGCGGTGGGGTTAAGAGTGAGGTCGACAACTCAGCGTACCTCTTTCCTCAAGTTCACGCGTCTAAAGCTACCAGCGTGCTCTAAGAGCC